CCGCATTGGTTGTCATATATGCCCTTACAGCTGGGATTGCGGGCTACACTGCTGCCTCTTTCTTTTGCCAACTGGAAGGAACAAACTGGGTGAGTGATCATGGGTTCCTTTTTCACTGCCTCTTGCTCACATCATTCTTGGGCATGCCCAAAGCACTTGTTATTGGTGTATTTCTATAAGGTTAATGTTATCAGATTCAGTGCGCATACATAGTGGAATTGCAGATTTTTTTAGGATCTGATTGGTTTTGGGACAAGTGTTTTGTGAAAATTGGTATAAGCATGTGTAAGGTGGCTGAAAAACACCTTCTGCTGGGTAAATTGTTTACCTTACGTATCATATCTGAACCCATTTGATGCTGCAAAAAAAAAAGAAAACCTGTCCTAGAGAAAGAGAAGAGTGTACTTGAAAGTTGATGGCTTAACGCTGCCTGAAGCCTTGCACTAAATTTTTTAAAAAGTGATTTTGAGAAGTCAATAAACTAAAGATCAACACTTAGAGAGTCACATTCAAATGTATCACTTTAGGTGCATTGAAACTGAGTAATGCTAGACATGGATACAAATACAATTGATTATTTCATGCTGGTTGTGGTTTCTATGAAGACTAGCGTGGTTTGCATTTGTTGGTCTTATGATATTGATATTAATTATTCATTATTATGATGATTTAAGTTTTTCTCTTTGGCATTGATGGAATTCCTTGTGATCCTAATCTGTATCATTGCTGAATTTCTAGCTTTACTCTAGAAACTACCATTCAACTTTTGAGACATGCTAGGCTAAACAGTTCTGAAATTTTGGTGGGGCAGGTCAGGAACTTGTTGTTAACTGGAGGTCTGTTTTGTGGACCTCTGCTCATTACATTCAGCTTTCTTAATACTGTTGCAATCACATATAGTGCCACTGCAGCATTGCCTTTTGGAACCATAGTGGTGATATTTCTTATTTGGGCTTTGGTAACAACACCATTGCTGGTACTTGGCGGGATTGCTGGGAAGAATAGCAAGGCTGAGTTTCAGGCTCCTTGCCGCACCACTAAATATCCCAGAGAGATTCCTTTGTTGCCTTGGTACCGGAAAACACTTCCTCAGATGGCCATGGCTGGGTTCTTACCTTTCAGTGCAATCTATATTGAACTTTACTACATATTTGCCAGTGTTTGGGGTCACAGGATCTACACCATATACAGCATCTTGTTCATTGTCTTCATCATTCTCTTGATTGTCACTGCTTTTATAACAGTGGCATTGACATATTTCCAACTTGCTGCTGAAGACCATGAGTGGTGGTGGAGGTATGTTTTACTGTTAGATCATATGAAGTTCGGGTATAAACTGTTACTACTACTGATTTGCTTTTCCATTATTATAAGCACAATAAAATATCCAAGGTTCACTCACAGAAAAAAATAAAAAAAGAGTTCTTTAATGTTGTTCTTTTCTAACTTTGAGTTAAAATTTTGCCTTTTTTTCTCAATGTTTTCTGACTCTTTAAGATCTTTATCTAAATTGCTGGAATATCCAAGTCATACTGTAATTTTTGCATTGATTTAGTCCTCTCCTAGTTTGCTTCTTTTATCCTTTTCTTGTAGTTGTGTTTTCTGGAAAATGTCATGTTTTAAAAGGATACGTGATTAGCTGATATATATTTTTCTAGACGCTCACTTTTATATATTTGGTGTTTTGTAGGTCTTTCCTCTGTGGTGGATCAACTGGCTTGTTCATTTATGGCTATTGTTTGTATTACTACTTTGCAAGATCAGATATGTCTGGCTTCATGCAAACATCGTTTTTCTTTGGCTACATGGCATGCGTTTGTTATGGTTTCTTCCTCATGCTTGGAAGCATTGGTTTCCGTGCTTCCTTGTTCTTTGTCCGCCATATTTACCACTCAATCAAGTGCGAGTAGGAAGTCATATGGTTTCATTGTGTTTAGTGAGTAGGATCCCTTACTTTCTCTTAGCAGGCTTAATTGAAGGAAACACTGCTCATTTGTATTGAAGCTAGTCTTCTATCATTTCGCATTATGTTACAGAGCGCGTCTTCTATCATTTCGCATTATGTTACAGGAGAAGCAACAGTTGGCTGGGAAAATGTCTTCTGGGATTGCAGGAGCCTTTATCCCACTACCTTGAAGGATGACCACACATCAAATGGGGGACTTATGTAATAACCTTTTTTAATAGGAGAGGAACATATAGGACCTTAGAATGCTGTTATAAGAATTTGTGGTGCTTAAATGTGAGCACAAGCCATCGTTTTGAATGTATTCTAGAACTGTATGAAGCCTTAGAATTTGTGTTCCTGGTAGCAGCACTTTGAACATTCTTATTTGCACAATTTATTACAGCAGCAAGATATATTTCCCATCATTCATTTATTTCGGGGGTTAAACTAGAATACTTGAGCATGGCGATGAAACCTAACCGGTAATGTTTAAAAAATATGCAAGTAATTATGTTTTTGCAATCTTTAGATTTAACGTAAACGAGATGATCAAACTAAGCTGTAAGTTATTTATTTATTATTTCTTCTATTTTTATGGAACTGAACTGGTTAACCTTGGTGAGTTTTCTATGGTGCTTGCATTAACAGAAAATCATGTTCTATAAACATAATATTTGCAATAAGATGTGGACACAACAGCGTACTTTCATTTATGTCTCAGACTCAGACGACATTCTGGTCCAGGAGGGGATGGCGTTGGTAGCCTGTCCATTTCAATGTATGCAGTAACAAATCAGGCCAAGAACAGATGCAAATAAAATACCGCTGGATTTGAATTTGATGGATTCGTTTTGAATTGATCGGTTCTGCTGTTGCATTTAAACCTAACAGCCTAACCTAGTATTTTCGCCGTTCAATAACAATGCCAGCCAAAGACTTGCTATGGACTCCACCTGAGATATCTTGGGATCCCCGTTCAAGATCCGGCATATAGGTTTTTTGAGTTAAGTGGTAAGTGGACAAATTAATCCTAATCTAATTAAAAAAAAACTTTAAATTTATATATTTTTTTTAAAACTCAATTGATGTCAATCAAATAAAAAAAACATGTAATGATTTCTTTTTGGATAAAAAAATTCTTAAAATTAATCAGACCAGATTTTATCTAAATCTCATTAAATTGTAATTTAACTTATAATATTATCTAAATTTAACCTGGTCAATTTTTAAAATAATTAAAGATAAAACTATTTAAAATAGATTTTGACTTGATGAATCATCAAGTCAATTTGTTATACTAAAATCGATGTAATAGTTATGCTACTTTGAATTGTGGATATGATAGTTTATTTTGTGTTTAGTAATGTGGTGTAATATATTTTTTAAATTAAAATATATTAAAATAATATTTTTATCAAATTTTTTTTAATTAGCATGTTAAAACAATAAAACAATATCAATAAAAATCATCCATTAATATATTTTTTTTGAGTGAAATGTCCATTACAAGGTTGAATTTAAATTTTAAAATTTTATTTTATTTTATTTAAATTAAATCTAATGATATAATTTGAAATAACTTTACATTATAATATGAAACATTGATTGCATAGCAAAAGGAAGAGAAGATTATAATTTATATGGAAAGATTAGGTCAAGTTTTTATGGATGTTTGAGAATGATAGTTGTTGTTTTTAAATATTTTTTATTTAAAAAATATTTTTTTAATTTGTGATATTAGAACATGAAAACAATAAAAAAATATTAAAAAAAATTATGAACTTGAATTTTTTAAAATTCTTAATAAAAAACATATTAAAACTCACTCAGAAACACTCTGTTCTTCGCATATCATCACCCTCTTCATCACATAACATAACGGGTAATTAGGTCATTAGCGTTCTTAACACACAAAGTGGTTTTCCTTCCCTTTTCAGGGATTTGACCTGACCTCTATGCTTCTTCAACTGCATGGTAAAATAACCATTACAACCGCGAAGTGGGAAAGAGAGTTGGATCAAAGTAAAAGCAATTTACCACAAGAAAAAAAAAAAAAAGACAGCAGAAACCTCAGAATTAACTACAAAGTAGATGATGGCATGCCAATTGTGATACCCAGGGTTTCATGAGTGTCAAGCTATAATCCTTGGCATTTAAGCATCCCCCACCTTCATAATTTGGAGGGTTCCTTGATTCCTACTCTTCTAATAGTTTATGCTTGTGTTGGGATCTATGCCAAATGAAATCAAGCTTCTTTTTCTTCTTAATAATAATAATTAATATTAATGCAATTACCATTAAATTTAATTTGACAAGTTAATTAATAAATCTATAACTCGAAACATAACTCCAGTTAGATTTTATTTTGAATAAATTTTTATATTAATTCAATAAATTTATAATTTAAAGCGAGATCCAAATTATTTTTTAATATAAAATGATTTTAATATTAATTCATTATAGTGAGATGATTTATTAGATTTATATTTTGAAACCTAATTCAAATTGAGTTTTAGTTTAAACTAGTTTTGATATTAATTGGATTTAATAAGTTCACTCAGTAAATTTGTAATTTAAAGTTTAAATTGGGTTAATTTTTAATTTAAACTATTTTTAATATTTATTTAATTAAATTAGATAATTATATAAGTTGATTTGTAACCTAACTTAACTAACAATCATTTCAAAACTAGAGAATTGAAAAACAAAAACAAGAACTACATGTTAAGGGTGTCTTTTAATACAATTATTTTGTATCGAACGAAGAATAGAATTATAAATTTGTAAGTGGTGTCAAAATAAATAAATGCAAAAATACCAAGTTTAATTTCCAAATAAGTTAAAAGAGATGAACATTAAAGTAAAAAATATGATATTTTTGCGATGCCCAATTCTTAATTATTTTGAAAAAAAAATAGACTTAAAAATTCAAGTTTGAGAATTTTGAAGAATAGAAAAATCATTAAAACCAAAATTTAAATTTAAAAAATAACCTTAATGAGAAGTCAATTACTCGCCTTGTTATTGTTGATTAAAGAAAGGCCTCTTTTTGACACGAAGGTTAACCGTTTTAGCGTCTTGGAGTCTGCTTCGAGCCACAGCCTGAAAAGCATCCATCTTTATAACTCCCCCCCTCCCTCTCTCTCTGCTCTGTTTATGAGTTACAGAGAGCGAAAATGGAGGTGAAACTGGTGCCTTGTTTGGTAGTCTCTATTTTGATCCTATGCAATGTGACCCATGTGAGATCAGATGCATCTAATCATCGTTACAAAGTAGGTGATGGTGTCCCTCTTTATGTTAACAAAGTTGGACCTTTTCACAATCCCAGGTAATCCAATTCTCTGTCTTTTGCAGTTTTGATTAGCTGAAGGATGTCGGTTGTGTGGGTTGTCTTCAAGTTTGTGACTTTTTTGATGATTTGGAATGGTGGGGATTGTGGGATTTGGTTTAGAAATGAAATTTAGGATTGGTTTCTTTAATTGTTGTGGATCTGAGCTTATGGTAAAGTGGATCTTGTTTTTCCAAAGAAGAAGATCAAAGATTGGAACTTGGACTTGAACATGAATTTGTTGATGTCGGTTGGGTACTAATTAAGTTGCAAATTTAACACAGCTTAATGGCAAGGAGCTGGTTAATTTTGTGTTGGGGAGATAGTTTAGTGGGATTCGGGAATGCAAGTTTTTGGATAGAGAAATCTGCAAGCTAGGAAAGGTTGTTTGTAAAAGAACAGAATAATGTCTAGAGATGTAGGAGGTGATTTGTATTTCTGTTTTTTTCTCGTGAGGTGGAAAATTTTATTTAGGGGCTTATTTCTTTGTTAATGCTGAAAATTAGATCTCAGTTTTAGATCCTATAAGCAATCGAAAGAACTCTTTTCCTTACCCAAAATTATGCTGGAAAATTTAACTATATTTTCTTAGTCCACTCTAGATTACATGTGTATTTGCTTTGATTTAGAAGGCATGGCTGGTGGTGAGTTGGGTGGTCTGAATTAGATAGGAAACTTATAAGTACTCATATCATCCCAATTTTTTGGTTTTTTATACTGAGATTTTAACCGTTGTACTATGAACTTTTTTAAGTATTTTTTAGTCATAATTGTCTGATATTGTTTCTTTCTTATTCTTTCTGTCAGTGAAACATACCGTTACTTCGATCTTCCTTTCTGTTCATCAGGTTTGCGTTAATTTATATTATTCCTACTTTAATGCTATGGTTTACTGTGGAAGTTTGCTGATGTTATTTATTACAGGTCCTACAAAGGACAAGAAGGAAGCCCTTGGTGAACTGTTGAACGGGGATCGTTTAGTGACTGCCCCATACAAACTTGACTTTTTAAATGACAAAGACTCTGAAATTGCTTGCAAAAACAAGCTGACAAAGGAGCAAGTTGCTCAGTTCCGAGAAGCAGTTTCCAAAGACTACTACTTCCAAATGTACTACGATGACTTGCCCATTTGGGGTTTCATAGGGAAAGTTGAAAAGGAAGGCAAGAATGACCCTAGCGAATACAAATATTACCTCTTTAAGCATCTTCACTTCACCATCTTTTACAACAAGGATCGTGTCATTGAGATAACTGCACTATCTGATCAGAAAAATGTTGTAGAGCTGACTGAAAATAAGGAAGTTAATGTGGAGTTCATGTATTCAGTTAAATGGAAGGAAACAGAAATTCCGTTTGAGAAAAGGATGGAGAAATATTCACAATCTTCTTCTCTGCCTCATCACTTGGAAATTCATTGGTTCTCAATTATTAACTCATGTGTGACTGTTCTCCTCTTGACTGGTTTTCTTGCAACAATTCTCATGCGAGTCCTGAAGAATGATTTTGTCAAGTAAGAACATGTTAATAATTTATGTTGCGAGAACATGTCTAATAACATTGTTTAGGCTTTCTGGTTTATTTATTTGGTGATGCTCCCATTTACAATAGGTATGCTCATGATGAGGAATCGGCTGAAGACCAAGAAGAGACCGGGTGGAAGTACATCCATGGCGATGTATTTAGATATCCAAAGTATAAGTCTGTACTTGCAGCAGCAGTTGGCTCTGGCACCCCGCTGTTTACTCTGTAAGTCTAACTTCAAGGCTGTGCGTATGGGGTTTCTGTCTCAAACCTTTTTTTAAATTATTGTATGTTGCTGAGCAACCTGCTAACTTTGTATATATACATACTTTGCCAGCACGATTTTCATTTTCTTACTCGCTCTAGTTGGCGTATTTTATCCTTATAATCGCGGAGCTCTTTTCACCGCCCTGGTTGTCATATATGCCCTCACAGCTGGAATCGCAGGCTACACTGCATCCTCTTTCTTTTGCCAACTGGAAGGAACAAACTGGGTAAGTGATCATGAATTCCTTTCTCATTGCCTTCTGCACGCATCATTGTCGTTGCTGGGCATGCCCTTGAAACTTGTTATTACTGTGTCTCCCAGGGTATTCGGATTCAAATTCAGTAACATGCATATTGGAATTCTCAATGTTCATTTGGAATGTGTTTGGTTTTGAGAGAAATGCTTCATGGAAATTAGCTTAAGCATGGAAAATGGTTTTTCAGAATGTGGTTGATTTTTTTATAAATGCTTAGCGGAAATTGGCTTAAGCATGGACAAGGGGGTCAAAACCACCTACTCTGTGAATTTGTTTTTCATTTGATAACTGAATTGTTCTTCTCACTTAATAACTGAACCAATTGGGATGTGAAAGGTAAGCTTTTTGAAAGAAGTGCATGGAAACAGTTTACTTGAAAATTGATGTTGTACTGCTGCCTGAAGGCTTGCAGTACATTTGAAAAGGTGATCTTAAGGAGACAATAAGTTAGATTTCAACATTCAAGATTACAGTTGAATATAAGTTTACATGAAATGAAACTATGTAGACTTTGATACGAGTGCAATTGACTATTTCATGCTGGTTGTGGCTTAGTGAAAATTAGCATGGCCAGCATTCATTAGAACTATGATATTGATGTTCATTGGTTATTATTATAATGATGTAAGCATTTTGCAGTGGCATCATTTTAATTTTTTGTGATCCTATATCCTCTTTTATCGCAAAACTTCTGACTCTAGAAACTACCATTCAACTTTTGAGACATGCTAGGCTAAACAGTTCTGAAATTTTGGTGGGGCAGGTCAGGAACTTGTTGTTAACTGGAGGTCTGTTTTGCGGACCTCTGCTCATTACATTCAGCTTTCTTAATACTGTTGCAATCACATATAGTGCCACTGCAGCATTGCCTTTTGGAACCATAGTGGTGATATTTCTTATTTGGGCTTTGGTAACAACACCATTGCTGGTACTTGGTGGGATTGCTGGGAAGAATAGCAAGGCTGAGTTTCAGGCTCCTTGCCGCACCACTAAATATCCCAGAGAGATTCCTTTGTTGCCTTGGTACCGGAAAACACTTCCTCAGATGGCCATGGCTGGGTTCTTACCTTTCAGTGCAATCTATATCGAACTTTACTACATATTTGCCAGTGTTTGGGGTCACAGGATCTACACCATATACAGCATCTTGTTCATTGTCTTCATCATTCTTTTGATTGTCACTGCTTTTATAACAGTGGCATTGACATATTTCCAACTTGCTGCTGAAGACCATGAGTGGTGGTGGAGGTATGTTTTACTGATCAATGTAATGTTCACTTGTAAAATATCAATGTCTCTAAGGTTATTGGTTCAATTTTACATCATTGCCTGCTAAATTATTGATCTTTGTTTTTCTTTTCTAACTTGTAGTGATATTTTAGCAGATTTTGTTACTTATTCTATGCTTTCTCACTGTTGGATGTTATCTAAATTGCTCGAACTATCCAAGTCGTAATGTAAATCTGGCATCATGTGTGTCGTGTTACGAACTTTCCAGACATGATGGTCCCCTAGCATGCTTGTCATCACCCATTGCATGAATTTGCCTCACGTTTTCTGCAAATTGTCTTGTTTTAGAAGGATATCTGATTGCCTGATCCGTCTTTCTACACACTCACTATCATGTATTTGGTTTTTGTCAGGTCTTTCCTCTGTGGTGGATCAACTGGATTGTTCATTTATGGCTATTGCTTGTATTACTACTTTGCAAGATCGGATATGTCCGGCTTCAGGCAAACCTCATTTTTCTTTGGCTACATGGCCTGCGTTTGTTATGGTTTCTTCCTCATGCTTGGCTCCATTGGTTTCCGTGCTTCCTTATTTTTTGTCCGCCACATTTACCGTTCAATCAAGTGTGAATAGCAAGTCATGTGGTCTTCATCATGTTCAATGAGTAGGCCCCTTTCCATTCTCTTAACTGGCTTCATTGTAGAGAACTCTGCACCTTTGTATACATGAATGTAATGTTGTCTTATAGAATCTCTTATGCTACAGGAGGAGATGCAGCAGGTGGCTTGGAATACATGCTCTGGGATTCCAAGGGCTTTATGCCCCACTGCCTTGGAGAATGATTGCACATTACATGTAGGACTTTTTGTTATATTATCTTTTATAGTAGAATATGTAGGACTCTATATCATGCAGTGCTTGAATGTGAGCACAAGCCGTCTGTTTTGAGTGTCTTGTAAGGTTAACCGTTATTTAACGGAACCATTTTTCAGTGTTGTATTGCTGTTAAGTGCGTGTGTTCCAAATGATTCAAGATAATGATAGCTACACAACACCTGTTTTTTTAGAATATATTAAAATAATATTTTATAATTTTTGAAAATTTATTGTTTTCATTAATACATTAAAATAATTTAAAATTATAAAAAATATTTTTTGAACACGACATTGTAGCTGAGAGCAGCACTTTGAAAATTCTCTTTCGACAATTTGTTCTCTAGCACTTTGAAAGACTTCGATGCCGCCAAGAAAAAAGAACAAGAAGGTGGTTGCCAGCTGTCGAACATTGCATTAACAAAATAACATATAAGCGGTTGTGCTTTGACTGTGCATCATCTACTTGCCATTGGGGTTTTTATTTTTATTTATTTATTATTTATTTAATCTATATATATATAATTTTATTCTTTAATATATATATAATTTGATATATAATTTATTTAAAATTAATTTTTTTTAATTTATCATGATTCATTTTTTATATAATAAACTTCGGTCAACATTGTAAGTTTGATAGGTTAATTTTGCTAATTTAAGTTTTTTATTTTTATTTTTTTATTTTTATTATTTAATATTCAATTAATTAGAAATTAAGTTTCATCATTTATTTTAAATTTTTTCTATGATGTTTTAGTCATATAACTCAAGTTGCGAGTCACAAGTTTGATAAATTAACTTAGTTGATTCAAGTGTTTTTTTTATTTGATATTTTTTTAGTTTTATCTTTTTTATAATTTGTTTTGGTTTGCTTTCTTTTTATGATGTTATTTTAATCTTATGATGTTATTTCGATTTTATGATTTAAGTTGAGTATTTTGCTGGTTAACCTAAGTAACTTAAAATATTTTTATTGTCACATTATTAGATTATTTTGTTTTTAATTATATCCTTTACCAATGGATTTACCAATGGATTTACTGAAAATTAATTTTCATAATTTGTTTCGATTTATCTTTTATAAAGTTATTACAATCTCATGACTCAAGCTATAGTTTTGATAAATTAACTTAGTTTGACTTGAAATTTTTTTTTGTTTATTTTCTATAAAATTATACCGATCTTATAATTTAAATCATAAATTTAACAAATTACATGTTGATTTTATATATATATATATATATAATTTCATTTTTCAACATCTAAACAATTAAAAATTAAATTTTATAATTTATTTTCAAGTTTTTTATTTTTATTTTTTTAATTTTATTATTTAATATTCAATTAATTAGAAATTAAGTTTCATCATTTATTTTAAATTTTTTCTATGATGTTTTAGTCATATAACTCAAGTTGCGAGTCACAAGTTTGATAAATTAACTTAGTTGATTCAAGTGTTTTTTTTATTTGATATTTTTTTAGTTTTATCTTTTTTATAATTTGTTTTGGTTTGTTTTCTTTTTATGATGTTATTTTGATCTTATGATGTTATTTCAATCTTATGATTTAAGTCAAGTATTTTGCTGGCTAACCTAAGTAGATTAAAATATTTTTATTGTCACATTATTAGATTATTTTGTTTTTAATTATATCCTTTACTAATGGATTTACTGAAAATTGATTTTCATAATTTGTTTTGATTTACCTTTTATAAAGTTATTATAATCTCATATTAGTTTTGACAAATTAACTTAGTTTGACTTGAAATTTTTTTTTGCTTATTTTCTATAAAATTATGCCGATCATATAATTTAAATCACAAATTTAACAAATTACATGTTAATTTTATATATATATATATATATATAATTTCATTTTTTAACATCTAGACAATTAAAAATTAAATTTTATAATTTATTTTAATTTATTATATTTAGAATCATAATTTAAGTTATAAATTTAATAAGTTACCTAGATTAATTTAATATTTTATTTTTAAAAAGATACTTTTTAAAAATTTTATAAGTCAAACTAATTGCTTAAATAATCATTAAATTTATCAGTCAATCAAATATAAATCAAGTAAATCCCTGTACAATTTAAATATTTTTTTATATTTTACACTGGATATTTCTTTTGTATGTTAAAAAAAATAAAATCCAATGCAGTTAAAAAAAAAAAAAATTAATCCAATGCACAGCTAGGCCGCAAAAATCTAGTACATTTTCTATAGAAGCATTTGCTTTACCATATTTAACCAAAAAACAGCACTTTATTTAAATGAACCAGACAGGCAGTTCATGTCATACAGTATCCGACCTTCAGAAAACTGTGAATTGAACACACCACAAGCAGTCCCAACACATTGTTGCACAACTTCAGACTCTAAAAACACTCTTCTCAGCATCGCCTCTCTCCTACTCCAGGGCGATTGAACATAACAATTTACCCTGTTGTTTTCTCTTTTATCGTTGTCTGTGCTGAGTCGTAGGCAGCATCAGCTGAAGAAGTGTCAATATCGTTCAATCCCAGCTCCTCATTCTGTTCCCAGGACCTCTCGTATTCCTCATCTGAAAATAGCAAAATACACAATGAAGTCATCAAGAGGAAAATGCAGTGATTTGACACGGGAAGACTTGATGAACAATCAGTTTAGACATCAAACTGCTGAGTGAAACAAATTACATGCACCATCTTTGAAGTACTAAATTCACTGAGTTTTACATCTGAATAATAAATCCAGAGCATGACTTTTGAAACATAATAAGCTTCTTGTAAGCAAATTACATTCCTTTCAAAGCTAAGGTTTTTTTAAAAATAAAAAATGCAATGAATTTTTAGTTCCCAGAGTATTATGCTAGTTCAAACACTTTCCTTCAATGCTCTCTTCAATTGTTTGTCGTGTAATGTTTTCATTTCAAACTACCAACGTATTTCTAGGAATCTATATATGTATTTCTGAAGCAAGCAAGCATCCATATAGACCTATCATCAAAATTTTGTACAAGACATTGAACCTGCCAAGACAGTAAGGAAAAGAACTCACATGACAACTGATGGTCATCTTTGATATTGTCAGTAGCTGGGGCTATAAAAGAATTTGCCAATGCATCATCAAGAATCAAAGTCCACGGTTCTTCCACATTTAGAAGCTGAAACACAAAAGAAAAAAAAATCATTAATAATACCGGTGAAGGTCAAAACTCAAAATATAACAAGTAATTACCAAGGCATAGTCTTGATTAAAATGAAATTGCAGGACTATAAGATCACAGTGCCATGATCCAAACCTAGATCCTAGAAATTTGCATTTTTCGAATAAATGAGGATCATCCAAAACATGTTGGACTGATTGTACAATTTACACTTGGATTGCAGTTTCGATAACCATATGCCACATTTTACCTTGTTTAACCTTAATTTAAAGTCTTGCCACTTGCTTTTTTTGGATTCATCAAGGCTATCTCCAAAAGTAAATCCATGAATTCTCTCAATACCTGCACATGTAAAGCATACATATTATGATTTCCTAAACTTAAGCTGGAAAATGGAAGTCCATATAGTAAATCGTATAGTACATGTCATTTTCTTTTCAGAAAAAGTTGACACTAATTAAACTTATACTGCAATGAAGATGTGATAAATAAAGCAGGACAAAAACAGAAAAACCACACCCAACCAATGCCTGAAAATATTTTCATATAATAACAGAACTCCCAAGGATTATATTTTAACACACATATACATGAGTTCTTATAAGAGTTCCAAAAAGATGCACAGTCCAAAAAAGAGAGTTACAGCTTGCAAGCTTGGAAAATCTTGGGCGGGGTTTGTGTTCTAAGGAAAATGGCTAGAAGAACGGAAATCAACATGAAACTGGGATCTAATTCAGTCAGTGTTCAGTGTCCAGAAGGAAATCACACTTAAGTGGTAACATGATCTAGAGTGGATATTCAGAAGAAAATCATGACAGAAGGTAAATTACTATCTTTGGCTCGACATCATTCAGTTCTACAGAAAGGAATATTCACCATTTCTAAAGTAAACGTCACTCTTTAGTTGAAAAGATTACTATTGTGGACAAGGAAACAATTGAAGTTGACAAAAGTTGACAAAAGTTGTTAGAAAGATGGAGCACAAATAAGGGGAAAGACGCTTCAAGGAAATGAAGGAAAGGCAAGACTCACACAAAAAGAAGCTTAGGGTTTCAGTACTTTCAAACCTTTTTTATGGAATTAAGGGCACAGCTGAAGTAATTTGCACAGTTGAAAGAAAAAAAGTAAAAATTTCCTAAATGTGATAACCAGCATTTAGTTAACTGGAGATGCCAAGCAATAATATAATATGCAAATGTTGTAAGAACAAAAATGATATTCATAGTATAGAATTTGGAAAGATAGTTGCAAACTGGTCGTTGTGGTCTGTTGTCTGACCAACAAAAAAATTACAATAAGATGTGAACACAACAGGATCATTATTCATGTCCCAGGAGGGGACTCGGCTGGTACTTGGTCTATTCCAAGGTAGCAGTGACAAATATTGGGTCAGATGCAATATATTTGGGGAAAAAAAGTTACTACAGAAATTAAAAACAAATACAAGAGCATTTATAAAATGATAGGATGACTGAAACAGGTGCGAGATGTAATAATAATACTCACTTTCACTAATTTTTGTGACCAGACCTTCAACAGTTGTAACAATGCCACCCAAAGTCCCACTAGCCAGCTCCAAGTCAAGCTCTGGGACTTTCACACCTGCAGTATCTGACTGATAAAACCAAAATACAGTTAGAGAGTGGCTTGTAACATGTTGCAGAACACTAAGTATTGAGCAAGGGTAAAGGCAGAAAGAAACAGTGACTACACTTTCTCCATCACCAGTAGACAATACATGTAACTGATTTAAATGTGTATTTAAGTATATTTCACACTTGCAGTATCCTCAATGTTCTAAGTCAAACAATAAAAATATTAATCCAATTCCATTTAGACGACACCAGTAGTAACATCCACTCTTCCAACAATGGACAGTCAGCACACTCCTCCAGCAATGGAAAGTCAGCATATGCAGAGCCACACAGCAAAACACAAAAAGAAAGCAAAATTAGAAATGAAACTACACAGAAAAAATGATCAACAGCACAGAAAAATGTTTGTTTTGATCACACTATACAGCGAAATGTTTGTT